TGGTTCCGGTTTGAGACCCGAGTCGGAGCGCTTCTCGGTTACGGGCAGCTGTCGCCGCCAGGAGCTGGCACGTGGCCTCCCGCCCCGCCTGCCCCCGCGTCCGTGGTGTGTAAAAATTACATGAAATGGAAATTTCAGTGTCCATAAATAAAGTTTCATTGAGCACCACCCCATGCACCAGGGGGTCGCAGGTTGGATTCCTGGTCAGGGCACATGCCCAGGTTGCTGGCTTGATCCTTAGTGGCGGTGTGTAGGAGGCAGCTGATGGATGTTTCTCTCTCCCTCCCCCTTCCTCTCTCTGAAATAAATAATAACATATTTAAACAGTTTCATTGGAATATAATCATACCTATTCTTTCATGTATTGTCCATGGCTGCTTCCCACTACAACCGCAGGTAATGCCCAGTGATGTCCAAACACGTGTGAATGGATTCACCCTTTGCAAGCCAGAAGGACTGTATTTCAAGGAAAAGGACCACGAATGTGTCCGGCAGGTCATTGTTCTCTTTATGCTAAGTATTGAAGGTTTGAAGAACCTTAAGAAAAGAATTTGATTTCAGTTTTCTGTGTCTCTTCTGATCCTGACTGTACAACAGACTTAGCCCATTATTGCAATGGCAATGTTTGCAATGTCTGAGACGGCCGGCTAGTGCAAAAGAAAGCACTATCAGAGAGCCCGGTTTTGGGAAATGTTTGTTCCTGAATCTCTCAACTAAACCTGCCTGAACTGCCTCTCTCCACCACAGTCCATCCTTCATATTCTACATCCTCCTTCACACACACACACACACACACACAAAGGGCCCTAGCTGAGCGGCTCAGTTGGTTGGAGCATCGCCCCATATGCCAAAAAGGTTGTGGCTTCAATCCCCAGTCGGGGCAACTGATCAATGTTTCTCTCTCTCATTCGGTGAGTGTATGTGTGTGTCTTCCTCTGGCTCTCTCTCCCTTCCTCTCTGTCTAAAACAAATAAAAACATATCCTCAGGTGAGGATAAAAAAACATGGTATCACCCTGTGCTCAAAGCCTCTAGGCTTTCTGTTGCCTACAAGGATTTAAGGAGATAAATGACATCACACTTACTGGAAGCCCCATATTATAATTACTAGTAGGCATGCTTCCTCCACATTATAAACTAAGTAGCCTCATTTTACAGACGAGTAAACTGAGGCTAAGAAAGATCAAATAGCCCTAACTGGTTTGGCTCAGTGGATAGAGTGTCGGCCTGCGGACTGAAGGGTCCCAGGTTCTATTCCGGTCAAGGGCATGTACCATTGTTGCAGGCTCGATCCCCAGTGGGGGTTGTGCAGGAGGCAGCTGTTCGATGTTTCTCTCTCATCGATGTTTCTGACTCTCTATCCCTCTCCCTTCCTCACTGTAAGAATCAATAAAATATATTTTAAAAAAAAGAAAGAAAGATCAAATAACTCTTCCACAGTCATACAGCAGAAAACAGAGGTGCTGGGATTCAAGCCCAGAGCTGTCCATTGGGATAGGGATATATTACAATTAATTGGGGAACTTTTTCAAAATACCCATGCTGTCCTGACAACAGCCTGAAACTTTGTGAGTAAAGACAACTAAATTAGTGGAACAAAGTCCAAAGTCCAAAAACAAATGTATGAATATAGGGAAATCAGAAAATGGTGACAAATAGGGCTGGAGTGAAACTGCTTGTCCTGTGATTAAAATAAGAGAAAAACATTCCATGTTATTCTTACCCAGGAAAACACGGGAGTGGTTGCTGTGAAGACCGATCTGCATGTATCTTCTGGTGGCGACGTACCCCGAGGGCATGCATCCTGGTGTCTGTGTGGAAGCCACAGCGAAGCTGGGTAAGTGTGCCCCCCAGCGCCGGTTTGGTTCCCTAAGGCGGATTCCAGGGATGGTAATGCTGGTGGAACTTCTCCCTGGTCTCTCCTGAGAGGGTCAGGTTTGTTCTCTCCCATTCCACTGCCTCCTTTCCTGGCTTGTATCATGGCCAAGCCTCACATTCTACCTCTTGTTTTCTTTTAAGACCCTGATTTGACCCATCATGGATCATATGGTTTAGCCTTATATCATTCAGCTAGGGATGGGAGCGGGGGCGGGGGGGGGGGGGGGGAGGAAGGCCACAGGTTTAAAGATGTAGCTGCCCAGGTATACCCTATATAAAGAGACCTTTTACAGAAAAAGAAATTACTGTGAGCCAGGCAGGCAGCTCGTTGGTATCTGCTGCATTCTCCTCCCGTGTCTACATATTTTTGAATAAAGATTTAATATAGAACTGGGAAATTATACCTATGAGAGTGGAGCTTAATAAACGGTATAAATTGAGTTTGTGTTTAGGTTTTTAATGTAAATTGAACTTTATAAAAATTTTTGGAATCGCATGAACACTCTTTTGAAATAGTAGAAGCCTCTACTTCTACTAGTAAGGAAAGCAGTAGTTCATTCATTCTTCTGACACTCACTGGTCTACCATGTGTGAGGCACTATCCTAATCCATCAGGAAAGCACCGCTGGTGGAGACAGAGTCTCCGCCTCCCGTGCCTCTGTGCGTGCTGTCCCATCTTCCTGAAATGTCCTTTTCTCTTCCCTCCTCTTCACATCCAGTTGGCAAATTCCTAAACACCATTGAAGACCCACGTGAGATCCTGGGCATCTCTCCCTGTGCTGTGTGTTTTATGCAGACCTTTATTGTCACTGCCATTATAGTTCTTTGTTTTCCTAGACCAGAGGTCCTCAAACTTTGTAAACAGGGGGCCAGTTCACTGTCCCTCAGACCGTTGGAGGGCCGGACTATAGTTTAAAAAAAAAACTATGAACAAATTCCTATGCACACTGCACATATCTTATTTTGAAGTAAAAAAAACAAAACGGGAACAAATACAATATTTGTATTTGCATGTGGCCCGCGGGCCGTAGTTTGAGGACCCTTGTCTAGACCGTGAGCCCCTAGAAGGCAAGAATTGGGTTGTAATCACTCCCCTTTCTCTAGTACCTGAGATGGTGTCAGATGTGGAATAGGCGATTAATACGTTTGATGAACAAATAAATGAATGGCCCCTGCCTAACAGAATCAGGGAAGGCTCCGGAGAGCTGAATCTTAAAGGGTTAATTGAGAAATTAGGTGGCATCACAGAAACTATATATTATTCTTTTTTTTTAGAGTCTCACATTTTTAATATTCCCATTGTCCTATTGTGTATACACATCACACACAAAATGACCAGTGGTTCTTAAGTAGCAGCAATTTTGCCACCCCCACTCCCACCACCACCACCCCACCCCTGCCCCCGGGATATCAGGCAATGTTTGGAGGCTTTTCATATTTCTTGACTGGAGGGGGGCGGTGGTGGGCGGGGGGAATGGAGACCAAGGATGCTGCTAAACATCCCACAATGCACAGGGCAGTCTTTCACAACAAAGAATTATCTAGTCCAGAATGTCGATAATGCCGAGGTAGTCTATTTGCACAGCTTTTAACCAGCCCAAATCATCTCATCAGGCAGCAAGGGAGGGGGGCGGGGCGGGGGCGGGAGCACTTCCTCGTCCCCGGGAAAGAGGTGGGAGAGCAGAAGTGGTCAGGACCCCAGGACCGCGTTTACCTTCCCTTTTCCCGAGGACTCCTCGCTCAGCACCACACTGCCTACCCATCCTACTCGAGATGCCTGGCCACAGGAAGGGCAGGACGCCAGACCCACAGCGCTAAGGGGCTAAAAGCCTGGCCTGGCTGGGAAATGGACCGACGGGAGGTCTGGTTCCCTAGAGAGAGCGAGGCTTTCTCTTCTTTCAGCGAGAGCTGGGAGCAGCATTTCCTACCAAACCCAGAGAAAGACTGGTTTCCAGAGACTCAAAGGGAAAGGAAATCCTACTTGCTGTCACCAGCTTTGCATTGTAAAGAGGGAAGGAGGAAACGGAAGAGAGGGAGAGGGTGGGTCCTGGTCTGCCCCACCCCTTGCGCACTGCCCAGCTGCCCAGATCCAGCCCACAGGTCGACAGGTTGCTGCCAAGCAGTCCCAGGGCTCCGGGCTCAGCTCTAAGGACCCACAGAGATCACAGGACCACGCAGTGCTGCCTGGAGCCGCCGAGAGTTCTGAGTAGGTAACTCACGGGCGCCAGGCCAGTGACCGGCCGGGCGGGATGGAGATGGGGAGGGGGTGAGTTTGTCCAACTCCGAGGGAGTGGAATTTGCCTCGTGCTCTTCTGTGTTGTCCTGCTCTGCATCTTCCACCCGGTTAGACCCGTGGTCGGCAAACTGCGGCTCGCGAGCCACATGCGGCTCTTTGGCCCCTTGAGTGTGGCTCTTCCTAAGCCTTAGGAGTACCCTAATTAAGTTAATAACAATGTACCTACCTATATAGTTTAAGTTTAAAAAATTTGGCTCTCAAAAGAAATTTCAATGTTTGTACTGTTGATATTTGGCTCTGTTGACTAATGAGTTTGCCGACCACCTGGTTAGACCATCCCTACTTCATCCACCCTGTCCCAGTGGGTGTCCTCTGTGTGGGGCCCGTCTGGATCAGCTGGGCCCTCAGAGGAAGGAGGGGAAGAGGAGGGAAGGGGCAGACCTCTCGGAGACGGACGAGGGGCCTGCCGCTTGGGCGTGGGCGCTGCGCTCCTGTTATCCCACCGAGGGGGTCCGTTTGCCTGTGCGCCAAGTCCAGTGAGACACAACAGGAGTGTGCAGCCAGGAAAGTACGGATTCATTAAGGAGATGGCACCATGCCCAGACTCACAGGTAGTTCATGCTCAAACCTGGCTCTCGGCAGGTTTCCAGGGGATGATTAGGAGAAAAACCATCAGTCATGGTGAGAATGGAGTTTGGGTCCTGGTCTCTACTGATGGGTCAGTGCTAGGGGAACTGATCATTGCATCTTGTCAGCCTTGAAGGTGCCCTGTCCAATTTCGCAAGGGTTTGTTCTGTATGTGAGCACTGCCTCTGGTCCTCATGGGTGAGTCAGGCACTAGGTGAGACCAGTTTGAGTCAAAGCTAAAAATTAAAAAAAAATAATAAAAGGCCAGATTAAAGAAAATAAGGTCTCTGGGCAGTTACACCAGTGACACGCCGGGTGGGGATTCCAACTCACAGGGAGTGGAATTTGCCTCGAGCCCTTGAGTATTTTCCTGCTCCGCAGCATCCACCTGTGAGGCCATGGCTACTTCACCCACCCTGTCCCAGGGCTGGCCCACAGAGGCCCTGCATGGGCTTGGACGCTGCATTCCTGGTATCAGACTGAAGGGGTCCATTTGCCTGCATGTGTCAAAGCCCAATAAGACACAAACAGGAGTTTGCGGCCAAGAAAGTAAGGATGTATGAAGGAGATGGTGCCATTCACGGAGTCCCACGTAGCTCATGCTCAAAGACCTGGCTCCCCCTGGCTCCCAGGGGGTGGACTATACAGGTGGGGCAAAAGTAGGTGGTGAGTAAGTGAAACAGAGTTTGTTCTTGTGTTATTATTTAATTATCGTATTACTTTCCATATGAACTATAAGCCTACCTTTGCCCCACCCGAAGCCTACTTTTGCCCCACCCTGTATAGGACAAAAATCCTTAGTCATGGTGACCAATGGAGTTTGGGTCCCGGTCTCCACTGCTTGGTCAGTGCTAGGTTAGGGGGTATTTATCACTGCAGCTGGGCCTGATATCAGCCTTGGAGTTGCTCTGTTCATTATTGAAAGTGATTGTCCTGGGGGATTGTTCCACTTTCCTGTGTCCAAAGCTAAAATACAACTGAGGCCACGATGTTATGTTTACCTCTGCCTCAGTAATCACAGACCCAGGACCTTGCTCCTAAGACTCCTAATTGTTAAGCAGAACGCCGTTGTCCTGGTGGCTTAAAGATTCAGCAAAGGAGAGGTTGGTGGGTGAGTCAGGGCACTAGGTGAGGCCAGTTTGAATCAAAGCTAAAAAATAAAACTAAGAGGCCAGATTAAAGAAAATAAGGTTTCTGCCCTAACTCCTGGAAGGCCTTCATGAGGCTCCCTGCCTTGCTGTGCTCTGTGTCCTCAGGAAACATGTTAGCCGTGCACTTTGACCAGCCGGGAGGACCAGAAAACCTCTACCTGAAGGAGGTGGCCAAGCCAAGCCCAGGAGAGGGAGAAGTCCTCCTGAAGGTGGCAGCCAGTGCCCTGAACCGGGCCGACATTCTCCAGGTACTCAGGGGCCAGGGCAGGACTCCAGAGCCTTCAATAGACATTCAGACAGATAAGGAGCAACCTAGGGCACTGCCAGTGACGCTCATGGTGAGGTTATGCTGGGGGTGCTGAGTCCTAGAACCATATGCTCTCCTTTGTTTATACAAAATGCAGGGATACAGTATTTGCAAAGCAGAATTCACCCTGAGTTAATCCATAGTCTGCTCCAGCTTCCAGAGAGGGAGAAGGGATTTACAATTTGTTGAGCAGTGGTGTATGGTAGGCCGTGCTCTACTCATTTACTCCACAGGCAACCCGGTTTACCATTTGTACTCTACAGGTAAAGAAACTGAGGGTCTGAGAGGTTAATTATCCAAGACCACAACACTAACAATCCCGGGAGCTGTGATTAAAATTGAGGTCTTTGTGGCTCCAAAGTCTGCTCTCTTTCCATTTTGAGGGTCCCGGAGTGGGCAGGGAGCAGCACCCAGAATTTCTGTCTGTCTGCTATTTGAAGAGCTAAACTGGACCAGCTGGATTGGTAGGGGTATTTGAGAAATGTACACCAAAATCACCTGGGGCTTTTTTCCAAAATAAATGTGACTGGCACCCAGGCATGTGTACTTGGAAAAAGCTCCTCGGATGGTTCTGACGCACACTCCTTGTTCAGTCCCTCTGGTCCATAGCCCTGGTCAGAGGCTTCTGAGGATCCCAGTAAATCCTGGCACTTGAGATACGAGAACTGTCACTTAGGTGTCATGGTTTTGTTCCTAGTCCTGCTACTAAACTTACTTTGCAAACTTAGACAAGGCATTTCCCTGCCTAGGCCTCAGTTTCTCCATTTGTAAAACAGGGTTTGGATGAGAGAAAAAGCTAAGGATCTTACTAATGTGACATCCACTGATTATGTGACCTACTGTCTCTTATTTGTATGAAACAATTGATCTCTCCTCTTCTTTCCTACATTAAAAAAAAACACCTCGCCCTAGCTGGTTTGGCTCAGTGGATAGAGCATCAGCCTGCGGACTGAAGGGTCCCGGGTTTGATTCCAGCTATCCACTGATTATGTGACCTACTGTCTATTTGTATGAAACAAATGATCTCTCCTCTTTTTTCCTACATTAAAAAAAAACCCTGACTTTATCCTGAATTTTCTATCAGAAAATAAAAGGGGATGGCTATTGGAAGAGGGCAAGGATGGTGACACCGATTTCTGATCATGCTCACCACTTAGTGCGATCCTCTCTCTGCAGAGACAAGGTCAATATGCACCACCCCCAGGAGCCAGCAGCATTTTGGGAATCGAGGCATCTGGACACGTGGCAGAGCTGGGGCCTGGCTGCCAGGGGCACTGGAAGATCGGGGACCCAGCCATGGCTCTGCTGTCTGGCGGGGGTCAGGCTCAATATGCCACTGTCCCTGAAGGGCTCCTCATGCCCATCCCAGCAGGACTGACTCTGCCCCAGGCTGCAGCCATCCCAGAGGCCTGGCTCACCGCCTTCCAGCTGTTACATCTCGTGGGTGAGGAGCTTCCCCCCTCCCATCCCCTCTCCATGCTTACTCCATACAAATTGTTCAATTCCTTCCTGACTGAGCCACCTCAAAACCCAGTAGTCCTCCAGGGCAGCTTTGTCCTGTCCTGGCCACTGAGCCACACCCAAGCCCAGCATCTCACCCTACTGTATCACCTGTAGGGTCAGGTCCTCACACCATGTTAGCAGTGGCTCGATAGTTGAGGCTGAAAATCACGGTTATCAGATAGAAGGCCTGAAGAGCACTGGGTGTACACATCGTCACACTGTTGGCCCACCACTCACCCCAGCTTCTCAAAGTCATGCTGAGCTTCTCTCTGGGAGCCTTAGTGCAGCAGAAGGAGCCATTCAGTCAACTCTTATTCCTCCCCAGTCCCATTGAGGCCAGCCAAAGGTCATGTGAGGGAGCCCGAGAGGACTCCTTTAGGGAGCTCAGTGTAACTAGGAAGACAAAACGTGCACAAGAATTAGACAACCGTAGAGTTCAGAAGGGTGGCTCTGCCTATAACTACAAAGCTTGAGATGGGAAAAGTTGGTGTGGGCCAAGGTGGTCAGGGAGGGCTTTCCGGAAGAGAAGGGTGGCTAGAGTTGTGATGGACAGAAGACAGCCACAGTGACCTAAGACAGGGTGTCTTTTACTTTCTTCGAAAGAAAAGTGAGATTGGCTGCTCTGCTCAGACGTGAAGGATGACAATTATCACTTGTGAAAAACGAGGCTGGGACTAGATTGTGGTGGCTTTGAATTGCAGGCTGTATGGACGTGATACAAAAGTCAATTGAGAGCCACATTACCTTCTGGGGACAACGTGACATAACGAGAACTCCATTTTAGGAAGAGCCCGGTGGCTGGTGGGTAGTGCCTGGGTTAGTGAGATCAGCTGGAGGCGTTTCAGACTGAAGAGGGACCGGCCGCTGGAGGTGACAGTGGGAATGGTGGTTACTCTCACTCATTCAGGTATAGGTCAGAGATGTGCGTTTTGATGTTATTTTGGGTAAAACAAATTACGGATGGGGCTGCTAATAACTTGCAAAAAGGTGATTTCCACTTTGACCAGAGGCAATAGGAAAAAAGAACTATCAATATGTTCTCTGAAGAAAGCAAGGCATTTGGCATTTGGTGGTCTCTGGGCCAGGTGATCATGGTAGAAGATGCCTATGTGGACAATGGGTAGCAGTTGCAAAGTAAAGAGAATGGCCCCTGTACTTTCTGTCACAGGAAATGTTCAGGCCGGAGACTCCGTGCTAATCCATGCAGGAGCAAGCGGGGTGGGCACAGCTGCCATCCAACTCGCCCGGATAGCTGGAGCTATTCCTCTGGTCACAGTTGGCTCCCAGGACAAACTTCAAATGGCAGAAAAACTTGGAGCAGCTGCTGGATTCAATTACAAAGAAGAGGATTTTTCTGAAGCAACAATGAAATTCACCAAAGGTAAACAACAGCTTGTGCAGCTCAGCAGGAATATCAGAAGTGATTAAATGAAATCCTCGCCAGCCTCAAGGCCAGTGCTCTAGATCTGTCTGGCCTCCGCTAAATGCACGACAGCTGCCCTGGCCAGGTTCTGGTACTCCAGTGTTGGACCTTTGAAGATAGTCAGGCAATATTTAGGATGAAGTCAGTTTCCATGTGTATCCTTGTGATCTGATTCATACACGTTTTAGAAACGGGATAATCAGGCAGAGTTGGCCCAGAATGACCCAGGACCTCTTATTCCCAACCAGCCAGTACACAGCGAGTTGAGAGGCGACATGGGGCAGAGACCAGTTGGGAGGTGGTCATAGTAGGTAGTGTTGCGAAGGTAGTTTCCTAAGTGGATGAGCCTCTGTGTTCCAAAGCCAAATCTGAATATTTTGGGCACTTCCCTTTCCATATGAGTCAAAAAGGAGAGATGACACCAAAGCTACAATTCAAACAACCCAGTACAGAGGCTTCTTAACTCAGGTGTGAACTACCAGCCTGCCCTATAGGCTGGAGTGGACTTCTCCGGTTCTGTTCTCACTCATGCCCAGGTGCCAGTGGGTTTTCTACTTATGTGGGGGCTGGGGAAGATGCCAGAGCATGGTGTTGCCCCATGTCCCTCTTGCTGTGGCTAGAGATCCTAAGAGATGAACGATTTCAAGCACGGATGGCAGAGTTCAGCTACCTAAACTCCACTTACAACAACGTTTCTATAAGCAGTGTTTTTAGTTCTTTATAGATTTACCACTTGCGCCTGTATTTATTTATAGCCATACATCCACAAATATACTCTGGGAATATTATTGTGCATCGAGCTTTCTGTGTCTGACTAGCATAAATTGTGTTTCCTGTGGAAGGTGCTGGAGTCAACCTTATTCTAGACTGCATAGGAGGATCCTACTGGGAGAAAAATGTCAACTGCCTGGCTCTTGATGGTCGCTGGGTTCTCTATGGTCTGATGGGGGGAGCTGACGTCAGTGGGCCTCTGTTTTCAAAACTGCTTTTTAAACGAGGAAGTCTGGTCACCAGTCTGCTGAGATCTAGGGACAAAAAGGTGAGTGATGAGCGAAAACTGTTACCCAGAGATATGTGATTCATTTTCATAACCCCAGCGGAGGGAAGATTAAGTTAGGGAGCCTGTGCAGAAACCTGCCCCTCTGTGGATAAACAGTTAACCCAATTTCACAGAAAGAATTAAAATTGGTCAATAAAAGCCTCAACATCTTAGAAAGAGGGTAGAAAACACTTTATATATGAGACCTGCAGAGTCTCTCTAATAAAGCATTAACCATATTAGGAAATACTTTTAATAGTTCCAAGACTGTTTTGCAAGGCAGAACTGTTCTGTTTGCTGAGAAAGCCTCTTAGGTAAGTAACCCTCCACCTCAGCCTGAAATCTCCACGTGCCAGCTTTGGGAATGTCTCCCAGCATAAGGTTTCACATCACTGGGGGACAGCAGAGCTGAAACATCCCTTTTGAGCTGAGCCTATGTAAGACCTGTCTGTGGCTGCTTCCCACTTGAAATCTGTATTTTAAAAGTCCTCAGGGGGTCAGTGGCACTTATATTTTACTCCAGGCTGCAGCCCTTACCTGGTCACACATTTGGGGGCATGCACATACATGCTGGTAACAGGGGGGTTAGGTACCCCTGTGTACTTTTGCAAATGGGTACACTTTTCAGAGAGACCACAAAGGCTAAGCAGGATGAGGGGGAGCAAGGTCAGGCTCTGTCCAGGCTGATGGTCTCCTTTTCCGTATCTTACTTAGTACAAGCAAATGCTGGTGAAGGCTTTTACGGAGCAAATTGTGCCCCACTTCTCCATGGAGGGCCCCCAACGTCTACTGCCGGTTCTGGACAGAGTCTACCCTGTGGCTGAAATCCAAGAGGCCCACAAGTACATGGAGAGCAATAAGCACATGGGCAAAATCGTCCTGGAGCTGCCGCAGTGAAGGAGGAGGGGGCACTAGAGGAAAAGGGTACCTCAGCCCTTCCCAGACCAAACTGGGTGAGAATTCTCTGAACGCAGGCAAGAGACGGGCTGATACTCCACTCCCACCTGTAGTCCACTGGGCCTTCCCGGCCTCGTCAACTGATCTGTGTAAAGCTGGTCTAAGGAAATAAAGAGTAAAAAGAAAAAACAAAAACAAACTAACAAAAAAAGAGTAAAGGGAGGCCGGCTCACTGTGTATGGTCGTGCGCACGGACGGAGGCCAATGGGGCGGGGAAGAGGTGGGAGATGGGATG